ATCCTCCACAACTAGACTGAAGAACAAAAACGACAGCAACTTGTCTGTTCCCCTTCCCCAATTCCCCAGCACTGTTCCCTTCCCTCCAATTCCCCAATAAAAATCTTAAAAAAAAAAAGTAACTTTCTCACCCCCAACCCTTGGCCATTAAGGAATGAGAATTCTGTTTCTTAAAAGCAAATCTTTTCTTAAGAGAAACCAAGTGCCCACGCCCAGGGATGCTGGTACCTGGGCCTAAAGCTACAAAGACACCAGGGGCAAGAGTCAGGTAATAGAATTCGAGTTCTCACTGCCACTGGCATGTGACCATGGGCATGCCACTTAACTGATGCTGATATTAACACCTCATGTAAGCGCTGTTATAAGGATAAAATAAGATACTATGTTTGAAAGCATCTTGTAAACTGCCAACCACCAGTTCTTGCCTGGATGCCTGCAGCAGCCTCCCAACGGACTTTGTCCCATCCACTCTTGCCCATTGCAATCAATCTAGTTCTTATGGCAGGCAAAGTGACCTTTTAAAAACACACAATTTGATCATATCACCTTCCTGCTTAAGCCTCTGAACAATCTTCCTGCTGCCCTAGGATAATGTCAATATCCTTAGTAAGTCCTGAGGAAGACTTAGCTTCCTTTTTTTCAGCCTCATCTTGTGTCACTTCCCCCCTTTGCCTATGCTGTTCCCAATGATTCAAACTATTGCCAGTCCCCCTGCATAGCCAGCTTATACTCATCCTTAAACTTCACTCCTTCTCAGTAGCCATGCCTGAAGTCCCTGGAGATATGTTCCTGCAGCGTCATATAATCCCTCATAACACTCCTCGTAACACTAGGTTCAATCATATGAAACTGCCATTTTGGAGAACAAAAATGGTAGACAATTGGCAATTGTATATGATTTCATCTAATAATTATTGGTATAACAGTGGTCATCTCCAGTTAGTTGTAAACTTTACCAGGGCAAAATCTAGATCTGACTCACTATTACAATCCCAGTGCCCCACACCCAATCCTAGCACACAGTAGGTGCTTAATTATTTAATTAATGTGAGGTATTGTTACTACCTTTTTAATGCTAAGTACATAATTTTTTATTGCCATTGGTAATAAAAATTATGTTTTTATTCAAATGCTATTTCTTTGTTTCATAGGAATAAAATGAAATGAAATGAAAAAAATAACTTTTTAAGATTTTCATTTCTGGTGTTCTTGGAAAGCATGAATTCTAGTAAGTAGAACACATATCGTCAGGGATAGAATTTAGCCCACTGATGTATCATTTAGGATTTTTTTAACTCGAGTTTTTCTCACCAAAGAGCAGAATGAAAACAACTCTCAAAGGCAACCAGATAATTTGGATTTATCTCTTTTTACAGCTTTTGCATGTGACAGCAAATCAGCTGGGGGCGGGGGAAGGCGTGGGAAGATAGCATCTAAAAGAGTGCTAGACTTGAAATGGGAATTTTACAATACACTTTAGAATGCATTCTAAAGTTTCCCAAATCACCTTATCCAACTATGCTCTATCTTGTGTCCCTCATGAAATGACCAGAGCAAAAACCAAGTCTAAACCAAGTTGGGATGATATTCGGGGTAGGCTAGACTTATTCACACACTATGTAACTTAATAATACGATTACTGTTAATTATAGCTGACATTCATCGAGTGTTTATTATGCACCAGGCACTGTGTTAAGCATTTCTTGTACAATGTCGTATTTAATCACTACTACAACATCATGAAGCAAATACTACGGTTATTCTCATTCTGGAGATGAGAGAACTAATGCATAGGGAGGCTGCCCATTGGCAAAGGTCCCTTAGCTGTAAGCGATGAAGCGGGGATTTAAACCCAGGACGTCTGAGACCAAAATCTGTGCTCTTAATT